TATTAATTTTTTTTTTTTTACTGTTTATTTATTTTGAGAGAGAGAGAGAGCGCGAGCACAAGTCGGGGAGGGCAGAGAGAGAGGGGGACACAGAATCCGGGCTCTGAGCTGTCAGCACAGAGCCCCACGCGGGGCTAGAACTCACAAACTGCCAGATCGTGACCTGAGCCAAAGTCGGACGCTTCACCGACTGGAGCCACCCAGGCGCCCCCTCCTTGTCTGCTTTTATAAGCAAAACACACTTTATCTCACGTGCCCCCTTAGTATTATCACAGACTTTTACGTCAAAAACCAAGCAACTTTGTTAGCGGCACAGAAGTGCTCCTCAGAGCCCCTTCTCTGAAATGCAGTTTTCTTTAGAGAATATAGTGTTCCATCCACCAGGGGTTGGACCCCTAATTCCCAGACCTCTGCTGCCTTCCAGAAACACCCAGCCCACCGACCCTCCGTGCACTAGACCTAGCCGGCAGTGTGGAAGGGAGGTTGGTGGGCCTGGGGAGGCCCCTGGGAACTTCCTCCCGGGAGCAGCCCAGCCCCTCTGGCCCTACCCTTCTGGACTCCTCTTCCTCTCTAGGGTGACTCCGGAGGGCCTCTGGTCTGCGACATTGGTGGAGTCTGGACCCAGGCAGGCGTAGTGAGCTGGGGACATGACTGCGCCCTCCCGAAAAGGCCGGGGGTGTACATCAACGTCAGCATCTACACCGCGTGGATTGTCAACACCATCCAGGGCTCAGCACCGGACGCCAGAAACTTCTCTCCGATCTCTGCCGGGATCTTCTTCCCTGCCGTGTTGCTGGTTCTGTATCTGCTGGGGGACACGCTCGTCTCCCTGGGCCTCGCCTGACCGGCCACCCACCCTCTGTCCTCTGGGACCCTCTCTGGCCTCTGTCCCTCAGGAAGCCACCCCCTACCCACATCTCCCCGACTTCAGACCCCGCGGCCCATGGCCCGGCCCCACCTTTCGAGCATCCCCCATGGGCTTTGAGCTTCCCTTGCCCGCCCTGCCAGCCTGTGAGCCCCTGGGGACAGAGCCCGGTCTCCCCACTCCTCACCCACCAGTCACATCTGAGTCCCAGGGTGCACCCACGCCCGGGGGCTCCTGTGGTGGGTCTCTGGGGCTCTCGGAACTGGGGGTTCAAGAGCCTTCCTCGCGTTGGTTGGTGCCTTTGCAGGCCTGTCGATGTGAGAGGCAGAAGACACTCACCCGCCTCGCCCGTGCCTCGGGGCCCCAGAAAGGTATTTTAAAGCACTTCCTGCTTCAGGGGAGCTTTACCCCCAGGGTGTCACCACAAGCTCACGGCAGGCCTCAGAGGCAGGCTCAAGTGTCATTAATGTGTTCCCCACCTTTCCCAGACAGGGAAACCGAGGTGACTCTGCCTTTGCTCCAGGCTTCAGGTCTGCCGCCGCCTAGCAGCCCCTCCGTCCCCCAGGCACAGTGGGGTCATGTGAGGGCTGGGGGTGCATCCACATCACCCCAAGTATGAACATCAGAGCCAGGCTGAGCTTCTCTCAGCTGCCTTTCCCTCTTCCCAGCCTGTTCTCCAGGGGCCGCAGGTGTGAGCCGGGCAGCTGGAGGCGACATGCCAGGCTGGGACCTGAGGCCGGGGAGGCAGTGACTGGACGCTTCTTTCCCTGCAGTTTACTTACCACTCAGGGCAGGGGATGGGAGGAGACGAGCACAGGCTGGGCCCCTTTCAGCTGGACCTCGCCTCCTGGCCCCGGCTGCCCCTACCCCTGCCCACGCAGCCGAGGGGTCACCTCCCGGGTAGGGGCTCCCTCTCCCAAGAGACAGCATGTTGAGAGTTCTTCCCCCTCTGTCTCTCCCCCCACCCCGGCCAGCCTCCAGGGTTTCCTCCGTTAGGCATCTCCTTGTCCTTGCCTCCTTCTGAGCCCCCGCAAGTAGGCTCCTGGAGTTTTCTCTGGACGACAGGCCTGTATGTCTCCCTGGTCAGGGCTGTTCCCTGGTGGCCAGAGGGAGGTACTCCCAGCCCCAGCCCCGGGGCCCGGGATGGCCAGCTGGTGGCGCTGGGGCCTGTGGCTGGCCGATGGCCCTCCCCGAGCCCCGAGTCTCTGCAGTGGGCAGAAGAGCTGGCCTCCTCGCCTGGCAGCCGCCCTGGGGAATGGAGCCCCAGCTGGATCCCCCCCTCAGTAGCAGCATCCGGCATTCACGCCAGAGCCACGGGCTCACCACCGAGGTCATCGCCGCGCTCGCCACGCACCCACGGCCGCGTGCCGGCTGGAACAGCGTGCTGGGTGGCCCGCCAGGCACGCCAGGGGCGAGTGCGCGCCCCTCCTGCACGTGTGACCACAGACGTGGACTCCGGCTGCCGCCGCCCGCCTTCTCCAGGCTGCTTCTGGGGCCGGCGCCTGGGGAAGCTGGAGTGTACAGGCAGCAAGGATAGGGGAGAGGAGAGATAGACCTAGACTCCCCTGGGCTTTGCACACCCTGCCTCTGTATCCCAATGGGCAGACATCCCCCACGAGCTGGAGGCCACTGGCCTCCCCCTGGCGCTCCCCCCCCCCCCCCCCGCCCCACGCAGCACTCCTCCTGGGCCAGGAGACCCGGAGGTCCCTCTAGGACGGCCACAACAGGGACCCTCTCCACCCTGGGAGAGGCTCCGCCAACCTGCATCCCCTCTTCTCCGCCTACCTTGTCTCCTTCCACCCCTTCCTTTACTGCTCCATCAGCCCTTAGGTTCCACAGACACCAAGACTGCCCCTCATGGGCCCGGGACGCAGCCAATGGGCAGATGCACACGCGACAAACCAGATGGCCGTGGATGCTTCAAACGGCTGGGAAGGAAGTGCGGCTTGTAGTGAAACAGCCCTCCGAGGGGGAGGAGGCAGCAAGCTCGCTGTAGACGGGAAGCCAGCAGAGAAGCTTCGCTGAGGGGTGACGTTAGCACCGAGCCCCGCCGTGAGGGAGCCTGCCGTGCAACTCTCTGGGACCTGGGACAGGAGTCTGCAGGGAGAGGCGACCCCAGGCTGGAGCCAGCCCGGGGTTCACTAGGGGAGGGGACCGGTGAGGGGCGGGGCTGTCGCGCACTGGGAGAGCCGGGATGGTTTTGGCAAGACCTGGGGCCGCAGCCATCCCTCGGGGTGCAGTGGACAAGGGACTGCCTGGGGTCCCTGTAAGGCACCAGAAGGCAGTCGCCGGCCCTGTGACTCGGGCCATGTGCCACACTTGGCCCCAACCGCAGGGAGCTCACAGGAGATTGGCCAGTTACAAGTGCTGTGGTGCCAAGGGCCACAGAGGGGAACCGTTTAGGGAACTCCGCCCCCGTGCCAGGGACCCGGTCCCGTCCTGTCCCTGAGCCCATCTGCCGGAGCCCATGCCCGCAGCCCCCACTCTGCAGCTGACTTGTGGGAGACACCCCAGTGTGTGAAGTCAAGGAGGTGTGCCGACAGGCCAGCTTCACCCTCTGGAGGAGGTTTCGTGTCACCCGGCACCCCGGGTGTCACCAGCGTCTCTCTCAGGGTGCCCTGGATCCAGGACACCGCGGGGAACCCTCTCGCCTGTGCCACCTGCTCCCGATCCCTTGGGCGCTCACCACCCAGGCCCAGCTGAGCGTGTTGTGGGGCCAGGCCCTGGAGCGGGGCTCCCACAGGGGGGACACCTAGTCCAGGCTGGCTCCCCTGACTGGAGGGACCCCAGAAGCCAGTGCTGGGAAACTCATCATTTTGTGAATCCCACCACACCCCCGATAGTGCTTAGGACACAGACGGGGGCACCAGGAAGGCACAGCCTCCCAGAACCTCGCTTAGGAGAGTCACTGGTCACGGGGACACTGGGAGACAGATAGCCTAGGGGTGCCTCTCTCATTTGGGCCATTTTGTTCCCCCAAGGACCTGGGCAGGAAAGAAAGTTTGTGAAAGGGGTTTCAACTTCCAAGATTTAAATTGGAGGAGGTGGGGAAGGGGGGAGAGGGGGA